CTTCTTCACCCTGCAGGAGCATGAATGGACAAAGTCTAAGTAACTGGAAACCCTACTAATGCATCAAAAGAGTCAATTAGAAGCATCATTTCTCAGTGGGCTCTCTAGGCCTATTAGTTTTCTTTCAAATTTGATTATGATTTTGAACAGACTCTGCCTATGCTTTAGACAGCTACTCTATATACGGACAGGACTTCAAGCTATTTCTGTAGCTGCCCAGAGCAGGAAAGAGTCCAGAACTGTTCAACCCACCTTTTTTCAAGTGATCAGAGATGCTATAATGTAACGTTAAGAACATAATTCATTTGTGCCAGAGATTCTATGTTTCAGATCATGAAAAACTTCAAATTCATTGTTTAAAGTAGCCTAATAAATAGACTGAATTGTGTGAGTCTATTCAGAGATGTTCTGCTACCGAAGATGCTTCCACCTACAAACACAACACAAACAATCCTTTTATAAATTCTGCTCCAGCAAAGGCAACCATTGCATCACCCTGACACCCTCAGTGGAAACTATAAACTGCAGCCGTGTGATACTGAGAACACCACGATCAGATGCTTCTCATATGTCTTTCACAATCTTCTTGTTTATAAAACACAAAACATTAATTTTCCATTTTTTTCATTTTAAATGCACTGATCTATCGTCTGGTCTCTCTCCTCAGCCGTGTACATCCTTCTTGGTGCCGGTGCGTTGATGATGGTCGTGGGGTTCTTAGGTTGTTTTGGGGCCATTCGTGAGTCTCAGTGTCTTCTTGCATTGGTGGGTTCAAAGCGTCACCTCTCATTGCATTTGTATTATTTTTATATTTGTTTCCATGAGGCTTAAATTGATATTACCGTTAAATTGGTACTAACACTGAAATAACTTGATGTGTATGCTTCTGATGAGTGATCGCGAAGATGTATAGAATTAGGCTGTCTAATAACAAATGAATAATAGACAAATATTAACTTTAGTTTAGTGTAATCTTTTTTTTTTAACAACAAGGCCCTTGTTTTCTCCATTTGTATAAAAGGGCAGAATTATACATTTCTTTCTAAGAGATTTCAGAAGAAATCACCAGGAACAGCCCCCAAAATTGTTTGGCCAACTGTTGTTCCCCAATAAATGAATCAATCACTGATTAGTTTTTGTGTTGCGTGTGTGGATGACTCCCACTAGAGGCAAGGCAAGGCAAGGCAAGTTTATTTGTATAGCACAATTCAACAACAAGGTGATTCAAAGTGCTTTACAGAGACATTAGAAACAAAAACAAATAAAAAGCATGATTTAAAATTGATTAAAACAAGCAAACAAACTAACTAACTAGTTAACAAACAAACAAACAAAACAGTATATAAAATCAAAAGAGATCAAATCAGTAGTTAAAATGTAAGTTTTGAAATTTAAGCTTAAGTGCGGATTTGGTGCTTTATTCAAATGCAGCTGAGAATAGGTGAGTCTTCAACCTGGATTTAAATAAACTGAGTGTTTCAGCTGATCTGAGGCTTTCTGGGAGTTTGTTCCAGATATAAGGAGCATAAAAGCTGAATGCAGCTTCTCCGTGTCTGGTTCTGACTCTGGGAACTGATAAAAGACCGGATCCAGATGACCTGAGGGATCTGGAAGGTTCATACTGGGTCAGGAGGGCGATAATAGTCCTTGTTTCTGTTCTGCAGTTCTTTGCTTGCCTTGTGATAATCTTTGGAGCAGAAGTCACTGCTGGTGTGTTTGGATTCCTAAACAAGGAACAGGTGGAGTTATTTGATGATTAAATACAAAATAACAAAAAATATTCTCTGTTTTTTTAAAATCCCATAACTAACCCTTTTTTTCTTCTTCTTTTAATAACAGATTTCTGAAGAAGTCCAAAAGTTTTACAGTAGCTCCACCCTCGACTCTAGTCCAAATGGAACTGCAATAGTAACGACTTATTATAAAGCTGTGAGTAAAACTTCGCCGTCATGTTCAGGGTTGCAATCAATACCATTAAAATCATGTTGTGTTTTGTTTTGTTTTTACTTCTTTTTATATTTGCAGCTGAACTGTTGCGGAGTTTCCACATTGGAGCCAAACAGTGATGTGTGTGCAGACTTCCCAGAAGACGTCAAGGTAAACCCCTCTGCCTGCAGGGACACTTCATAGTCACATGAGGGCAGTAAAACACCATTTTAAAATGAAGCACTATTTGCTGTGATGAACCTAGTTTGCTGTGTGCAGAATGATCGATATGAATGTTTCTTGCTATTTTTGCTTGATATTAGGACTGCCTGACTGCAATAACAGACTTCTTCGATGAAAAGCTGTATATCATTGGATACATAGGGATTGGTATTGCAGGAGTCATGGTGAGAAAAGTTTGAGTTTTTTAATTAATTGTGACCCATATTCCTCAGGTAACCACAATATGTGTCTGTGATTTCAGATTATAGGCATGATCTTCAGTATGGTCCTGTGTTGTGCCATCAGAAACAGCAGGGAGGTTATATAATTGGTGAGCTGAACCTCCCCCCCAACCGTCGCCTGATCATATGGTTACACAGCCCTTCATAATCAACTTGTCTGCATGAGAAGGGAAACACCAAAGTTACATTTCAGTCACTTCTCTTAGTCCAAACAAGTGCGGTGGGGGAGGGCCTCCGAGTATCACAAAGAGAGAACAACAAATCTCAAAGCTCCCACTTATCCACGGACCACATGCAACACGATACGCTGGATCGTTAACATCACACCTTCTTCTTGAGTCCACCAGCACTGAAATTCACTTCCCTCTTCTTTTCCATAACACATGCTTTGCTTTTAGCTCGACTCTGTGACATTCCTCACTTTTAACATGTCTTTGTTAGACTGCCGGTGCTCCGCAAAGGCCAAAGTGCTGCCGTTGTAGATGCAACACAGCACACAAAGCCTTCTTTGACACAGGAATGTTGTGACTGGGGAGTATTGCTGTAAATATGGATCCTTATTTTCACTTTGTGTGCTTTAGCGTTTTGAGGACTAGCCTACCTTTGCAGAGTAAATTTGCAGAGTAAAATTCCGTCATGTGCCTATTTATTTAGTTACGATCAAGCCTCCTACTACTGGACTGTTTGCCTATATCTTTTGATTTGAATATGTACACTGCACCAGTGCTTGCTTCCTGTCACCACTTTCAAGTATTTCTACCGTAAAGCACAATAGCTGAAGTGTAGACATGATTTGAAGCCAAAGGGTTAGGATGGTCTCATGATAAACTGCGGCGTTGTAAATCTCCAAATTCATCTGACAGCTAAATAATGCTTTGTGCTGACCTCTTCTGGAGCATGTTTGGGATGTAACAGTGAGCTAGTTTGCATTTTGTGTGAATTATTGTGGATGTAAATTTTGTTGGTGTGCCAATAAGATGTGAATTATAGAATAATATAGTTTGTCATACTGTTAACCGTAATAAAAACATTGGGTGCTTTTATTTAGATGTTTTCAGCTTCTGTCCTCGGAGATGAATCACATGTGTGCTTCTTGTAAAGAGGAACAAGCTGAGAAGAACTTCATTGTAATTTGTGGTTAGTGAAGTACCTGAACATGTGAGCAATGTTCTGTTTAGGTCCACGGATGACAAATTTCAGTCACATACAAGGCAAGAGTTAAAGGATATTGACTAATAATACTATTAACTGAAAATACTAGTGATGGTAGTATATTCTATAAATCAAGTTTATAGAAAATATCAAGCGTCATGGGATTTGGACAAAATGTCTCTACACAAGGCCTGCTTAGTACTTGCTCATACAGAGAAGTGGGGAATTCCACCACACCAAGGTATGTTTTACAATTTTCAAAGACAATAATGAACCGATAAAGTGAAATATTACACTGACTTCAATCTGCCGTTAGTTAGTGTGGACTAAATCATTCACCTCAGCATGTGAACTTGCTCAACCGTGATTTGATGCCCTCCTGGTAGTAAAGCTTCCTGAATGTGTGGATCAGATTCAGACAGCCTTTTTAACAGAAATAACTGCAGCTGCATTGCATGAATGTACAAATGTGCAGAGAAGAAAATAGCGCTGTGTGCTGCAATATCTGGCTGTCATTTGACTAAAAACAAGGGACTAGTTCTTCTCATTTTCAGCATCTGGGATTCCAGATATTTGATTTGTATAATACGTTTATGGTGAGCCTTGGTACATCCCCTCAGTTCATTCACTCTGAAACAAGTCAACTTTCTTCCGATTGAGTGTGTGCATGAGATAGCCTTACTAAGGAAATCACTGATGTCAGCAGGAGGCCAGAGTCGAACAAACTCTTCGTAAAGGAACATTTAGAAAAATCGAATGTAGTATGTTTACATTAATGAATATGTCATAAAGCAATAGTTCTGAACTACAGCAGTTATTCAGAATACCTTCATAGCCCTCAGTACTTAGTCAAACAGTACAGACTGGGTACTTCAAGTTTTTTATTAATATACACAAGTACAAAAAGCCATCACAATCATTGGTATGTAACAGTCTTTTTTTCCTTTTAAAAATAAGCTCACAGTAACTGTAATAATGCTCATATTCTGTCAATTTTGCCTTGCAGAATCAAAACTACATTTCAAACTGCTTTGTTAAGGCATGAATCACAAAGGACCTTCTGGATAACATTTCAGATGAAATATAAAAAGTGTGTGTGTGTGTGTGTGTGTGTGTGTGTGGACGTAGACAAACATAAAATGTGCATGATTGCATCTCAAGTTTATGACAGTTCACATAGCACTAACCAACTACTGCACTAATGTCAAGTGTAGGACACAGCTTATGGTTTGGTAAGCCATATGGTCCCAATTTCATTAGGAAGGTTCATGATTAGTTAAAGTAAACATGTACACAAAGCAGTTCACAAAAAAAGCCTTTCCAGCAAGTTGTGTAAACTGGGCCCTGTGAACTTTCAGACTTTTGTTTCTAGATTAAGGCTCAGCAACATGAGACAGCAAAGAAGGAAAAAAAAATAAAAAAAATAAAACAAACAACAACAACAACAACAACAACAACAACAACAACAACAACAACAACAACAACAACAACAACACATAAATAAAGTACTACAAACTCTCATAACAAACTACTTTAAATAACGTCAAAAACAAGTTTTAGAAAAAAAAGAAAAGTCGTGATCAAGAAAGCAAGCTCCCTTCCCTCACAGAGGGAAACAAAACAACTGTTTAGGGTCAAGAGAGGCCCCAATGCAGTAAAGCTACCAGCTTCAAGCGCAAACACTGGCTTCAGCCTACTGAACAAGTAACAAAAGGGTTTAAGTGCAACACCACGTTTTGACCGTAAAGATAGTGAAATCATAGGTCTTTCTGTCTACTTGTTTTTCTTGCTGTAAACTGAATACATGTAGCAGCTAGGTCTTCTACCAGGTCCCATGCATAGCTAGTCAGCAAGATGATATGGTCTCATGGTCCTAAGAGGCGTAGGGGTGAGTTGTCAAGGATGTATTCACCAACACCAACAAAGTACATAACCTGTACAATGCCAAACAGAGGTGCGATGACCAGAGCCCGGCAGCTGGCACCTTTCAGGAATGCTGAAGGCCCCTCCTTCTGCATTATTTTACTGTCAAAACAGAGGAACGAGTTTATTCATACACACAAAAGGTAGGAAAAGGAAAAAAAAAAGAAAAAAAAAAAAAAGACGTGCAATTTATGCAACTGTAAAAATGATTCACTGTCATACCTTATACAATCCACCACTCCACTGTAAGTCTCCTCACTAGCCCCCTTGTTCAATGACTGCAATCTGGTCTTCACCACTAGAAGGAGAGAGAGCAGGGGGGGGATTGTTAAAATTCCAGTGTTGCTAAGAATATTCAACAGGAGACAACTGGGTGATCCAGCTGAGGGCGGAAAAAAAAAAAAAAGCAAAAAAAATAAAAACACCACTCACCATCACAGGGGTTAACCGCCACCGCAGCAGTGGATCCTGCAGCACAGCCTGAGAGGAAGGCCCAATAGAAGGGTGACGACGCCTCAGGACTTGGTTTGCCCAGGCGATTCAGATTAGCAAACAATGGGAAGTAAACAATAGAAAAGGGGACATCTCTGGAAGAAAGTAAACAAAATATTTTCAGACTAAAATCCTGGCGAAGTTCAACTGCCCTGTCAGGTTCACACACAGCCTCTCATCGTGGCGGTAGAAGTGATTTACCTCATCAGTGTGGCCCCCAGACCTTTGTAGAGCCCCTGGATGCCCTGCGTCTGGAGGAGTTCTTTTGCAATCTGTGTAGCCGACACAGCTCTTGGTGCAGAAATGACCATGCCAGAATTGTAAGAGCGACTGAGCACTGCATTAGTGGCCACAAGCTTTGTGGGAGTCATCATGACTGGTTTCTGTTGTTGGACCGCTGTACAAAAAAACAAAAACAAAAACCACACACACATAAGAGATATGGAACACTGCTATAAATGTAAATTACTGACACTGATGCATTTAAAAAGGGCTTTGCATGCTTCTTACCAAGTCTGCCTGCATCCTGTAGTTGTATCTTGAGCATTTCCATGGGGGTAGTAACAATGACCTGGCACATGCCTGCACCACAGCCTGCCAGCATCTCTTTGAACACTGTCAGCCCCTTTCTGTTAAGAGTGAGACATGTTTTAAATAAACCACCTTTAAAAATAATAAATACATATTGCCCATTTCCAAGAAGATCCTCTCACAGAGTATGCTTACCCGTCTTTGGCAAGGTGGTGCCGGAAGAAGTCATTGGCAGCCAGCTTGATTGCCTTCTCAGGGGTAACCAAGGTCAGATTTACAGCAGCACCTGAGGGGGAAAAAAATAGTTAGCACTGAAGACAGAATCCAGTTTTCCATTCAGCACATGTACAAAAACATACCCCGCCACTATCATTACAACATCAGAATGTAAAGAGTTAACTGTACAGTTAATTTACACACAGACAAGACATATACTCAGTTTAATTGAGCTTAAGTAATAATTGTGAAGGGGGATTATGTCAATTTAAAAAAAAAGAAAAAAAGAAAGAAAGTAGTAAACAAAATATCAGGAGAAAAATGAGAAACAAGCATAACAACACAACATAAGGAACAATAGGGCAATGAAGATCCAGAGGAAGATGCAAACACGAAATCTATGAAATAAACAGAATCAAGGTGTGACAACAAGCAACACTGTGTAGAGAAGACTTCAAGAAAGGAAATAGATCTTAGTGACAGGATGCATGTCAGTGAGTAGGTTAGTGATGACAGATAAAATAAAATATAAAAAAAACATTAGAGAAAGGACAGACTGAGTCCTTGACTATGCGTGTGAAGACTTTGAGCAAACTTAAATGTTCTGTGGGACTGAATATGAAAAAAAAAAAAATCTTTAGTTCACCACAGATTTGTTTGCAAGCTCAACCAAAGTCTGCAAAGACACAATTCATAGTCTGGAAAACAACAATAATCCAAAAGTTGACAGGACAGCAAGAAGACAGCAAAGTAGTTACTGACAAGTCAAATAACAGAACAAATAGATGGCAAAACAAAAACTTGAGCCTAGAGTTTTAAATAGAGCAATATTGTAAGAACCATTTAATGATTTGCCTCCAGCGTGGCTGCGCCTTATCGGCTAGCCTTCAATATCCCAGGGGGACCCAAGTCTGTAATATGAAAAACACAGATGCAAACAAACATTCCTCACACAGACAGAGACCCAAACTAAGAAGTCTCCAATTTCTTTGCAGACTTAGTTTCCTTTTCTAAGTGATACACTAATAATGAAAGTATATGCTCTCTGTTTTAACAAGTACAATATTACATACTATACTACAGTGAATGTAATACTTTGCATGAGACCATTTGACAACTTCTCCTTTACAACTGGACTAAGAGATATATAAAGCATCCAAACACAGCTAAAATGCAGTCTCTCAGTACTTGTTAAAACAACAAGTGTGGCCAGTGGTAACCGTATCAATGTTAACCTCACAACAGAGAGCTTACCCTCTCCTATATTTAATCCTCTTGCAGAACTTCTACCTCTGCTATCCTACTGCTTCTTAATATTTAAATATGTACAAGCCTTACCTCTGTACATTCCAAAGTATCCCTCTGATCGAACTGTCTTGACAAGGCAGTCCATCCTACAGAAGAAAGCAAGGTAAATATTACCGGTGTGACAAAACACGCCAGTTCATTGAGACAACAGGGGGTGGACTAAGGAAATTTAAGTGTTACAAGAGAACACAGTTCAGTAAATTTCCACTCTATAAAGCAGTGCAAAGTGAGTAAAATGACCTCACTAGAGAGGAATTTCTTAAAACCTACATAGTCATTACAATTCAATGCACAGCTGTCATTGTGAGATCAGTATGAATAGCACTGACTTACACCAGGGCGTGGTAGGTATAATACCTGGGGGCTGTGTGTTGCTTAAGTCAACATTAAGCAGAAATACTCACATGCTTTTGTAGACCTGCTGACCTCGTCTCTGATTCTGCAACCTGGTCTTTGCCAAGTCAATGGGGAAGACACAAGTAACCCCAACAATGCCAGCAATGCCGCCATTAATGAGTTTGGCTGGGAGGCTAAAGAGAGACAGCAAAATAAAAATAAATAAGTAAATAAATAATGTCACAACTTTAATGATGCTGTGTTTATTCTTATAAGTTTGAAAGACAGACTATGATTATAAACTGTTTAGAAGGCTAAAAGCTATACTCCAAAGATAATCAGTTTACAATTACATGAAACACAAAAGCAGAAAATCATGCTAATATAAGTCACCAAGCTCATCTAATCATTATGAAATAATAATAAAAATAAATAAATAAAAAAAAACATTTGTACCACTAGACCACACATACACAGAATAAAATAGTGCATGAAGCTTACCTGATCTGCTGCTGAGACATGACAAAGTGATAAAGCTTTGAAAGAGTGACAAAGGAAGATGTATGAAAAAGTAAAAGCAAAAATCAGGTGATGTAGGTTCAGGTGTTCTTCAGTGAGGTGAATGAGCAGAGTCCTAGACAGAGAAAGCAAAGGGAGTTACTAAGTAGGTTTCCAAGTAGTCACAGACCTTACAGAGAAGCTTATTCCACCCACGAGGGACTTTAGGTTATCTATGTGCCGCACAGTCACAAGACCATGATGCAGCGGATGTGCTATACTTGCGCTATGAGTAGTGCAACCCGTGGGCGCGTTTAAGCTCACATACCGCACTCCATATATGGGCGTAACCGTCTTTCATAAAGTTAAGATTCAAATCTGGCGGCTACGGCTGAATTTCTAAGTAACTCTTTCTGAAGGCCGAGGCATAAAATATAGATACTTTGTATGAATGTGAGTTACGAGGGATAATATCGATGCAAATATACGAGATGGCGTTTCCATGCAAATATATCCCTCTACCGAGCATTTTAATTGCATTAAAAAATATAATTTAAAAAAATGCACTGGCCAATGGAGTTTATACTGTTTATAATACACGCTTTGGGTAAAAAAAAAAAAAAGATATTGACTACCGCATTGTTTTCAGTTCCACATAAAGAAAGTGGCTTTTGAAGGCTACTGTCATTGAGACGCCCATTCATTCGTCAACATTATGAGAAATAACGAATAAACTGGAGACAAAGAATCAAGCAGTGAATTTAAAACCATTTCTAAACTAACTGAATATAGATTATTACGGATCAACTTACCAAATAAATGATCTCGCAGTAGTTCTTGTTTGATTGTTTCGAGCGAATAGTCAGTACTTCTTTCTCTTCCGCTAGTTGAAGCGCTAATAACGCTGAGGGTCAGAGTAGCTGGAATTTTCCACTGGCTTTTTTTAAGGGGCTGGCGCTTATCTGACTGCCGCTTGACTTAAAGCCAATCACAAGTTTCTATATTGTTACTTTATTTTGATTGGAAGGTAGATACATCAATCATTAGCTGATTCACCAATTACAGCTTTACACTGTTTAAGCCCAAAAAGAAAGAAGCTATTTTTTTTGTTAAGTTTAAACATTCAGTTTTTCAGAACCAAAACCTCACTGTTAGATTATTTAAAACTGGTCTTTGTTGGGAGAGATTCTTAGTAAAGAAGTCCTTCCCCATGTCTCAGAATAATCTCAAGTTAAAAGTGGATTAATCCTATTAAAGTCGCCATGGCTTTGAGATTTGTGAAATGTGCTGTCCGACTGCTAATGGTGTTATTTGATTCGATTTGATTTGATTCTACTCTATTCTAGCACCCAGGGGGAACTACGGTGCTTCTTTAAATGACTGAACTTGCTTTTATTTAATCACAATTAACCACTGTTTTCTGCTGAGCAGATCAAGATGTTGAACATAAAAAGCATCATTAGTTCAAAAAAAATATAATGAATTGTTTATAAAAGCTCATGCACTGAAATATTTATAAATTCTGCTTTCTATTTTCTAATATTGCCACTCACGGTCAGGATTTTCTCTTTACTTCCCTTCAGCAAGATAGCTGTGGGTGGGAAAATGTACCCCTTTCTCTTATCAGTCTTAGAATAGGTTGAACATGCTGTGATGAGTAGGTCTGACTGTGTCCAGCTGGATGAATCAGATACAGAGTCATAATTTGCTGACGAAGAAAATGTATCTTCATCAATAAACCCATATTATAGTCATAAAAGTTTTTCTTTATGGTAAAATAAACGTGGCCTTAAAGTTTAAATGAGAGACACAAGACAGCATATCAAATTACTCAAAGGAATGTTTCCCGGTTTTAGTCAGAGCAGTGCATTCTACAGACAAGGCTTCAGGTTTTTACAATGTATTTTTTAACCACATAATTTGGAAAATTCCGGAGTGAAAGATCTAGAGGCTTTAAAGTTGTGGACACATCCCCAAACCAGGAAGTCGTTTACGTCTAACATACAGCCAAAAAAAATAATAGTGGGAGATGCATATACCTTGCATGTCATGTCAATTTTGGCAAGCGATTGTCTCTTTCGTAACCACTATATAGTCATTTCTTCTCTGCTCACTGTTCACTGTAATAACTTGTAACAACATGCCCTAGTGATGATCATCTGGTCACTCAGTGTTGTTAAAAATGTGAAGTTCAATCAGACATATTAGCGTTATTGAAACAAATAAAAAATGGTTTTTCTGAGAACCTGTAATATAGAAAATCCACAGTCTTTTATACAGGCAACGCGATGTGAAACTATATTATAAGAAGAAAGAAAAGCTTAGGGAATCACCAAAGTCAGGGGGATATGTAATATCTATAGCACGAATAAAGATATTTCACAGAATAAGTACAAAGTCATTTTGGAACGAGAAGTAAATTTAGAATAGAGGAGCAAGTCAGTGGAAAAGGTCACTAGGACAAATCATAATACTTTCTTTCATCATGCTCAAAACAGTTGAATGAAGATAAAAAGACGAAAAAAAGACAACATCACATAAACCTATTTCTGTACAAATGTGTTTTAAGAATTGGTCTGAACAGAGTGACTGATTCTACAACCTTTGCAATCTAATTTTATACTAAACTGAAGTGTTTGACAAGCAGACCAACCACCAATGACTTTTCCTGGACCCACTGGTGATTCCATTGCTACAAAAAGTTCTCACATTTTTATCTAGCTGAATAAACACAACACAAGCAAAACTTTATGGTTTGTCTGAATGAACGCGTAATCGGTATGTGCACAACATAGCTGGTTGCTTTGGAATGCTGACAGAGGCAAATTCCATGCTTTTATCTGTTAGGGTATTCAGGTTTTCAAAACTACACCACTACAAATTTTCAGCCAAGCACATCAGACCATTGTGCCATACCAGACTGATTATTCTGGAGTCATGTCTGGTCAATTTTTAATACTAACAAAGATAACTCTATGTGACAAAAACATTTTACCTTCTCAACACATCAAAATTAGGAGGGGTGGGAGTGGGAGCATATGTAGCACAATATTTCATATTTAGTGACAAAGTCAGGACACTGAAATGCCTCATCCCAAAATGGATAACACTGCACCATTTTGTCAGCTGACTTTTTGCAAGGTTAAACAGAGTATCAGGTTGTGGGAAGCTGTACAAGCTCAAAGCCGACTAGTGGCTCAGAACACCTGTGTCATTGTTGTGTAAACGTGTCCCACTTCCTTGTTTTCCCTTCATAGAGATAAGAGCGTCATATCCTGTTCTTACCCCAAAATTCAAAATGCTCCAAGGTTACTTCAAGATTTGAAACACCATAATCATGTCAACTAGTTAAACTTCTTATAAGGGGTTATGTTGATGAATAAAAGTGAGAAACAGCCTTTAAAGGTCTTTAAATCAGATGTTTTGTTGGCTTTTAGGTCACAGGACTTCTTTTGTAGTTCATGTTATACTCACTTCTCTTTAAAATGTTGTAAAGTGTTGAAATCAGTGAGGGCTGCAGAGCCAATAAAAAAACTTCCATCAGTGCAAAGACATTTTAAACAGAAGCTATCAGAAAAAAGAGAAAGCCTGTTATATATGTAAAGACTGAATATAAGATCATGAAAGAGAAATGTCAAAGAGCTCCACATGAAAGACTTATCATGCATTCTCACACTCTGAATTGCTGAGCTATAAATAAGCTGCAGCTGTCCCCCAAAATTTCCACTGTGCACTGGAAAATACACATATAAACACTGCATCAAACTGATAGTTACAGTGGACAAAGTCACACATTAAATTTGGTTTTGTTGAGTCTTCTAGTTATATTGTTTCCAAAAAATCTAGTAACGTATTTTAACAACCTCAAGGACAAGACATTTAACCCTTGTCTCTATAAACTGTCAATAAAAACCAAATGCAAAAGTTTGCAAATCTTTTAAAGGTGACAATATTTTTGTTTAATAATTAAAATGGTTTTAGTGGGTCAATGGTAATAGACTGCAGGCTTACCACATTAGCTCCCAGTCACTTCTTTCATTAAGGCGTTCTTTTGGAACATATGTAGACTCTGGTTTAGCTTTTTTGTTTTGTTTTGGCTTACCCCGAAAAAGACTTCATGTTAGGACGGTGTTGCAAGACCTGTATGGGCGTTGAGTATTAATGGTGCCTGAACTGGATAAGCAATTAAGAAAAAGAAAGATATACTGATGACTCACAGTGTAAGAACCCATCACCACTTTTACTTCTAGAATACTCTGGGATGCATTTTTCATGCCCAATTGTGTCACAAATTAACCTCAACAGTTATTAGAAGTTTCCTAAAGTGTTCACCATCAGCTTCCTTATTCCTTATGCTCGGGTGATCGTGGCTCAAGAGTTGGCAGTTCGTCTTGTAATCAGTTCGAGCCCCGGCTCCAACAATCTCGGTCGATGTGTCCTTGGGAAAGACACTTCACCCATTGCCTACTGGTGGTGGTCAGAGGGCCCGGTGGCACTAGTGTCTGGCAGCCTCGCCTCTGTCATTGCGCCCCAGGGCAGCTGTGGCTACAATATAGCTGCCATCACCAGTGTGTGAATGGGTGGATGACTGAATGTAGTGTAAAGTGCTTTGGGATCCATAGGGACTAGTAAAGCGCTACACAAATGCAGGCCATTTACCATTTATGCTTTCTTTTGAATGTTTTCAGTTAAATATGGGCTTTAAATGATTTGTAAATTATCGCATTGACATTTTACACAATGTCATAACTTTTTTGGAAACAGCTTTAGTTGTGTCAACAATTCGTGGTTGTCCAGAATGACTATCAAGGTAAATATAGTCAGTGATGTTGTGAGTGTCATGGCCGTGTGTAGTAAACAGAAAGCTAAAGTCTTACACAGGATGTGATTAAGTCAAGTACTGCTTAGTCAGAGAGCTATTTAGAGACTTTAATTCAGTTGTAATCAGACTGCCCTTTTCCGAGCACAATAAGTCTGAGAGTCACGCTCACAAGAAAGTACAAATGGATATATAATGCTGAAAACAGGAAAAATGCACTAGGATCAACACTCATTGTAAAGTTAAAAGCAAGCCTGCAGCACGGACATATTGGCTAACAAAGGCAGAATTTAAAAAGCTGGTACAATTGGGAAAGGTACAGACGGTACAGATCTGACAGTATATGATGACACTTGTCTTTTCTCAGAATATGGATGTCATGTACTTCCACAACTAAAACAGTGTTCTTGTTATGGGAACAAGAACATGTGAGTCAAAAAGGGATAACATAGTTGCTGTGGCCAGGATATGGGTAGATACGCCTAACAGGCTTGGTACACTTTGTTCCATCCATGCTGGCTCTGTGTGCGCACTCATCAGTGTCAGTCCTGCATGCACTGCAGTGGCAGCTGAGAGCCACAGGGTAGGTGAAGACAGGGTTGGCTTCAATGGGACAGCCAGGCAGAATAGCAGTGTGGTATTCAACCTTATCATAGGTGCAGCCCCTCTGGACAAGGAAACGTGGGCCAAGAATATCCCTCATGTTGCTGTCCTGGTTATCACATATAAGCACAGAGATCAAACTAAACGAATGACGATGACATAGAATCTAGATAACATTGGGGAAAAAGTGCTGGAAATATTTTTTTATGTGACTATCTAGCTTAAAGTCTGATAACATTGGCTAATAAGAAGTCTGTCTTGATATGTATTTATTTATTTATGTCGAATATTTGCAATAGACAAATTATGAAGTGCCTTTTTTTGGGGGGTTTTGCCAGCTTTTTTAAAAATTTCTTAGTAATTTACAACATTAAAACCGCAAAGGAAATTGTAAGCTTTCAGTGTAAAGCCCATCCAACATCTAAATAAAGTCTCCAAAGCATTTATAAAACTATGTAAAAAAAATGCTAAAATAAAACTAAATAAAACTATGTAAAAATATGCCAAAAATCACATA